TGCTGTGTGACCTTGAGGGTGGCCCTGCCCTCTCTGAGCCTTAGCCTCCATGCTGTGCTATCTTCCCAATTGGAAGCTGAGGCTCAGGCCACACTGTAATCATCCCTGGTACCCCATGGCCTTGGACCTGGGGCTGTCTGCTGACTGCAAGCCTCCATCATGGGCCATGGGCACACACCTTGAAGGGGCCATGACTGGGACCCTGGGAGGGCAATCATAATGATGATAATAATAATGATGGCTACCCATGTCCAGGGAGTGTCTGCTCTGTGCCAGCCCTGTGCTGGGCACTTTCCTTGTGGGACAAGGAAGATCTGCGTAGCGCCCTGTGATGGGGGGGTGGAGTTGGCACCATCATTTTAGAGGAGAATCTGAGACCCAGAGAGGGACACAGCCTTACCTAGGGCACACAGAAAGGAAGCAGCAAAACTGGGTCTCAAATGCAGGACCCTGGCCCCAAGGTGCTGGCTCCAGGTGGCCCTCAGTTGTGTGACTCACACATGTGGCTCTCACCCACTCGTGTTAGCCCCGGCTACATTCTGCCCTGAGGGTCATGGGGGTCATTCATCAAACATTTACCTGGTGCCAGGCTCTGACAGCGCGGGGATGAGTTACCTTCAGGCTTGCTTGCAGCCAGGCACAGAGATCTCTCCTCCCATAAACCTGGGCCCAGGAATCTGGGCCTTGGTCAATAGTGATGATAATAATAATTAATATGTATTGATCTCTGCCTGTGTACATGCATCCCCTTATTCAAATCTCAGTCTCATGACTGTTCCTCTCAGCCAGGCTCCTGGCTGCCAGCCAGCCCGTCTGGACCTTGGTCTACCCAGGGACTCTGCCTGTGGTTACCAAGGGCCCTGTTTGCCCTGATCTTGGTGCTATGTGTCCATCGTACACATGAGGAGACCAAGACGGAGAGGCTGAGCAGCATGCCCAAGTCCACAGAGACCAGGCAGGAAGGGAACCATCAGCCTCGAATGCCTCAGGCTGTTGACACAGTAGGGACCAGCCACCAAGGCCCCCTCTGTTTCTCTACTTCTTCCTGGCTGCCCTGGCCCAGCCCACAGAGGCCAGACCCTGCTGTGTTGCTGGGACAGAGCCCCATTAGCCACACTTTGGCCTCCTGTGGTGGATCTTCCGGCTGCACACACACTTCCTGCGGGCTTGGGACTGAGCTTGAGACATGCCAGGCAGGGGCTGCCACAGACAAAGCAGGAAGATGCATATTGGAGGCTGACAGACTTGGGCTTGAATCCCAGCCCCTCCCCCTGCCTTGCCGAGTGACCCTAGGCAAGTCACATCACCTCCTGGAAACTCGATTTCCCCATCTGCAAAATGGGGGTGACAGTGGGGTCAGCCTGCTGGGATAGCTAAGCAGAATCAGGGAGATGCTCTGGAGAAGGCCCTGCCCAGGGCCTGGCTCATAGCAGGGGCTCAAAAGTGAAACCTGAGAGCAGGCATGTTTCAAGGAAGCCCAAGTGGCAGAGTGAATGAGGGAAGTGAAGCCGTGATGGGGAGGTTGGGGGCGCTGTCCTGGGCTGGGCTAGGAGGAGCCTGATTGGTGGTTCTGGGAAGCTGGTCTGCCCCCTACTGCTGGGCTTCCACCCCAGAGCTTCTGTCATCAGCCTCCTAGATTTCCGGAAAGTGTCCTGGTGAGTGGGGCTGGTGGGGCAAGAGTGGACCCTGGGGATTTGGGGAGGGCAGGAATTTTACCCTCCCCTGTTTTAAAGTCAGAGAACCCAAGGTCTAGGGCCCCACTCAGGGTTTGGGCCCAAGTCTGAGGCTCTGGCCTGGCTCTAGGCTCTGCCCTGTTTTCCAGTGGGCCCTAGGAGACAGTAGCCCAACTGGGGCACTTGATGCATGGAGCTGGTTTGTGCTGGGAGCCGGCAGCAGCCACTCCTTGCTCAGGGGAGCCCACCCTGAGGGTGACAAAGACTGAGACCAGGAGCAGGTCCCCAGGGGCTCAGGAGGGAAACAGCTAACACTCTTTGAGAGATAACTACATGCTAATTGCTTTCTTTGCCTCCTCCATCTCTGAAAGAGCCAGTGTGGGGGGGTGGGGGGTGGGCTATCAGCTTCCCAGTTTTACAGATGAGAAACTGGGGCTCCATGGGGGTTCCTGTGATTGAAACACAGGCCTGGGGCCTCCAGAGCCTGGGGTCAGCACCTCCCCCTCCATGACCAGACTGGCTAGCCACCTTACCCCACCCTGCATTCTTTATCACCTATTATTTAAATATATTAAATACATTTTATTGCCTTTTTTTAATTAAAAAAGTAATACATGCTCCCTTTTTAAAAAGCAGTTGTTACAGAAATGCATAATATAGAAAAATATTCCCGTGTATACCCCTTTTCCTACCTACGCAGAGGCTACCACTGTTAAAATTCAGAATACTGTCCTCCAGTTGTTTCTGGGCCTACATGTATACATATATGGATTTGGGGGCATAGTGTTCTGGAACTTTCTTTTTTCCCATTATTAGATCATGATGTGTTTTTGAGCCAGTCCACTTAGCTCTGTCTGTTTTGTTAATGGGTACAGAGGACTCCATCTGGGAACAGGCCTTGGTTTGTGTAACAGTCCCCCACTGATGGACATTGAGGTCGTTCCTAATTTTTTAAATTTCTGACCAAGATGCCATGAACACCATGTCATGTGGGACTTTGCCCAAGTGTTTCTGTGGAATCGTTGGAATTTGGAGAGCTTATACCTTCCTCCTTCGCTAGAATGAACTGCCTTCTGGAAACATTCTCCCCCATTCTCGTTTACCCTCGACTTGTTCACCTTGCCCACCTAAGAGTGAACAGAGATACGTCATTGTCATGAGGGAGGCCAAATTCCCTCTTGCATAGTTTCTTCCTCTACACTTTGCTTCCTTATGTCCTTTCCTGTGATGAGAAATTTCTAGAGGATGAGCAGAAGACTCAGGGACTGGTGCTGGCTGGTGGGGTGGGGCCTGGAGTGCCCCTTCTCTGAGAAGGGTTTATGGGTGCCTTGGGTAACTTTCCCAGAGGGAAATATGTGGGGTCCTCCTCCAGGCGGGCTATTTAGCCTCTGCCCCCAGGGATGGTGGGGACGTGCCGTGCGTGTGGTCACGGGGTAGCATGCATGACTTCTTGTGGCCTCAAAGGCCCAAGGCCTCCATGCCGCACGTGTTAGAGCTGGAGTGGAAAGTTTTGTGCCCTGGTCTTACAGCTGAGGGGAGGGAGGAAGGCGCCCTGAGCCCTGGCTCTGTCCTGGACTCCCATCCCTCAGCATGAACTGCCCTTACAGTTCATGCCTCAGTCCCCCACCGTTAGGGTTGCCACAGTTAGACCAAAAGACTAGACCAAAAACTCCCCAAACCCAAAACAAACAAACAAAAAGGACACCCAGTTAAATGTAATTTTCAGATAAACCCTGGATAATTTTTAGCATGTCCTGTGCAATATTAAAATTAAACAACTTTTGGGGCACCTGGGTGGCTCAGTCGTTAAGCATCTGCCTTTGGCTCAGGTCATGATCCTGGGGTCCTGGGATTGAGCCCTACATTGGGCTCCCTGCTCAGTGGGAAGCCTGTTTCTTCCTCTCCTGCTCCCCCTGCTTGTGTTCCCTCTCTCGCTGTGTCTCTCCCTGTCAAATACATATATAAAATCTTAAAAAAAAAATTAAACAACTTTTGGGGCACCTGGGTGGCTCTGTTGGTTAAGCGGCTGCCTTCAGCTCAGGTCATGACCCCAGGGTCCTGGGATCGAGTCCCACATCAGGCCCCCTGCTCAGCGGGGAGCCTGCTTCTCCCTCTCCCTCTGCCTGCCGCTGCCCTTGCTTGTGTGGGCTCTCTCTCTGACAAGTAAATGAATAAAATCTTTAAAAAATAAATAAATAAAATCTTAAAAAAATTAAACAACTCTTGGGGTGCCTGGGTGGCTCCGTTGGTTAAGCGCCCAACTCTTGGTTTCGGCTCAGGTCATGATCTCGTGGTAATGGGATCGAGCATCGAGTCGGGCTCTGCGCTCAGCATGGAGTCTGCTTCAGATCCTCTCTCCCTCTCTTTGCCCGTCTCCACGCTCGGGCATGTGTGCGTGTGCTCTCTCTCTAAAATAAATAAATAAAAATTTAAAAAAAGATTTTATTTATTTATTTAACAGAGAGAGACACAGCGAGAGAGAGGGAACACAAGCAGGGGGAGTGGGAGAGGGAGAAGCAGACTCCCCACTGAGCAGGGAGCCCGATGCGGGGCTCGATCCCAGGACCATGGGATTATGACCTGAGCCGAAGGCAGTCGCTTAACCAACTGAGCCACCCAGGCGCCCTGGTTGGGTCTTTAGAAAGCTGAGAGATTCAGGCCCCGGGGAGGTCCCTGACCCCTGCTTGTGAATAGCCCTGGCCCCAGGCCTGGGGGGAGGGAGCACCGGGAGAGGGTCTTCTTTTTCTGTCTTACAAAATGATTTCATTACCGGATGCCTGGGTGGCTCAGTCAGTTGAGCAGCTGCCTTCGGCTCAGGTCATGATCCCAGGGTCCTGGGATCGAGCCCCGCATCGGGCTTCCCACTCAGCAGGAAGCCTGCTTCTCCCTCTCCCACTCTCCCTGCTTGTGTTCCTTCTCTCGCTGTGTCTCTCTCTGTCAAATAAATAAAATCTTTAAAAAAAATAAAAATACAAAATGATTTCATTACGAAGCCCCAAAACATATAAGGTAAACTGATGACACCCAGGTACCCACCCTACCCTTAAAAATGAAAACTGAACCAGGCAGTAGAACCTGCTTCCTGCCCCATCTCCCAGTCTCTCTCTGCATTGGCTTTGCCCGCCATCTCTGTCTGCACCCCTGTCGCTGTGTCTCTCCAAGCGTTTGTCTCTCTGTCCCTGTGTGAACCTTGCTGGGGGGACCACAGAGCCGGCAAAGGGCAGTCCCAATGTCAAAGGCTGCCCTCGACCCAGCCAGGCCTGGGGCAGCAGTGGAGGCTCCCTGGGGCTGGCCTCCTGATGCTTGCCCTGCTCTGTGACCCCACAGGTATCTGAGATGCCGCTGCCCCAGAAGAAGCGCTGGGTGTCCATGGCCAAGGGGCTGGTGCTGGGAGCGCTCTTCACCAGCCTCCTGCTGCTGCTGTACTCCTATGCTGCCCCCCCACTGCACACTGGCCTGGCCTCCACGTGAGTGGCTCTCCGTGGGGGGGGCAAGCAGTGGGGGTTGGGGGGGCGGGGCACCCTGGGCCCTGCATCATGCTGTGCTGGATGTGCAGAAATTGTGCTGATTAGGGCAGAGCTCACTGTGTAACCCTGGGCCTCAGTGTCCTTCTCCGTGAAGTGGGCATAATAGCAGAGCCTGCCTCATGGAGTATGAGGATCAAATAACACTGTCTGTGTACACGGCAGGGATTATCCTCACCTGAGGCTCCAGTGGGGCTGGGACGTGGGGGTGACTTGTCCAATAGAACTCTATGGGCACAGGGCCCAGGCTCAGACTGGGCTCTGCTGCCTCCAAGCCTGGCTCCTAACCATGAGGCTAGCCCACCTCCTCAGGGGGCTGCTCAGCCCAGGCCTGGCATGGTTTGTGCTCTTAGTTGGTGGTATCAAGTTGAACTGGAGGAAACTACCGAGAATTGACTATTTTTGGTCAAAAGCCGACCTACAAAATTTCATGTGGTCCAACCTAATGCTAATTCGTGATAACATGTACGATGTGGTGGCCACGAATGAGACAAGAACCAGCAAGCTTGTCTCACTTTGATCTCACACCAACACCCCAGATGGGCCTGTTATTTTCCCCATTTCGTAGATGAGGAAGGTGAGGCCAAAGAGACCAAACCACACGCCCAAGCATCACAGCCTGGACACAGGCCTGTCTGGTCCCGTGTCCTGGCCTCCCTGCTACCCACCATCCCCAACAGGCCTGATCTTTAGACACCAGGGCGCTGGGGGTTCTGCCTCCCGAGGGCCCCCAGCAGCCCCTGAGGCTCTCCCCACCATTCCGTCCACAGCAGGACCCCAGAGGGCACAGCGCCCTGCGCCCCGGCGCCAGGTGAGCCCGAGGCACTGACCCCGGCCAACGGCTCTGCGGGAGGGTGCCAGCCTCAACGCGACATCGTGTTCATGAAGACGCACAAGACGGCCAGCAGCACGCTGCTCAACATCCTGTTCCGCTTTGGCCAGAAGCACGGGCTCAAGTTCGCCTTCCCCAATGGCCGCAACGACTTCGACTACCCGGCCTTCTTCGCTCGCAGCCTGGTGCAGGACTACCGGCCCGGGGCCTGCTTCAACATCATCTGCAACCACATGCGCTTCCACTACGAGGAGGTGCGCGGTCTGGTGCCGCCCAACGCCACGTTCATCACCGTGCTCCGCGACCCCGCCCGCCTCTTTGAGTCCTCCTTCCACTACTTCGGCTCGGTGGTGCCCTTCACGTGGAAGCTCTCGGGCCGTGACAAGCTGGCCGAGTTCCTGCAGGACCCAGACCGCTACTATGACCCCAACGGCTACAACGCCCACTACCTCCGCAACCTGCTCTTCTTCGACCTGGGCTATGACAGCGGCCTGGACCCCGGCAACCCGCAGGTGCAGGAGCACATCCTGGAGGTGGAGCGCCGCTTCCACCTGGTGCTCCTGCAGGAGTACTTCGACGAGTCCCTGGTGCTGCTCAAGGACCTGCTGTGCTGGGAGCTGGAGGACGTGCTCTACTTCAAGCTCAACGCCCGCCGCGCCTCGGCCGTGCCGCGCCTCTCCGGGGAGCTGTACCGGCGCGCCACGGCCTGGAACGTGCTGGACGCCCGCCTCTACCGCCACTTCAACGCCAGCTTCTGGCGCAAGGTGGAGGCATTCGGGCGGGAGCGCATGGCCCGCGAGGTGGCCGCTCTGCGGCGCGCCAACGAGCGCATGCGGCGCATCTGCATCGACGGGGGCCAAGCTGTGGACGCCGCCGCCATCCAGGACTCGGCCATGCAGCCCTGGCAGCCGCTGGGCGCCAAGTCCATCCTCGGCTACAACCTCAAGAAGAGCATCGGGCAGCGGCACGCGCAGCTCTGCCGCCGCATGCTCACGCCTGAGATCCAGTACCTGATGGACCTTGGCGTCAACCTGTGGGTCACTAAGCTCTGGAAGCTCATCCGGGACTTTCTGAGGTGGTGACATCCCGCCCACTGGCAGCTCCCTCTGCCCGCTGGATCGCCGAGGAGGGGCTGGGCGGGGGCCCTCCGGCCTTCCCTGTGTCCTCCTGGTGCCCCCCACCCCGCGCCCCCCAGCTCTAGGGGGAATGAGGTGGGGCTGCTGCGGGGGCGTGGCCAGCCGGGACTGGGTCCATGGCACACAGGGCCTCAGATCAATATTTGACTAATTCTAGCTTTTTTTAAGAATTAAATCCCCTTCCCTCCAAGGAAGAATGTTCTATTTCCTGCCTCCCCTTAAAGGGGAGAGTTCAGAAGTAAAGGCATTTGATGTTGTGTTTTTTGTTAATCAGCCTCAGTGGTGCTGACTGGTGGGGCCCTGGGTGGGAGGTGACTGATGAGGATGGGGGGACCCGCAAGAGAGCATGGCAGGTGCCTGAGTGTGTCTGTGGGACAGAGCCCAGCGGTGTGGCAGGGTTTGGTGTGCACCTGTTACGTGCTGAAGCCCTGTGTGGTTGAAGGACTCCCAGGAGCTACCAAGCCCTGGAAGATCATGTGTGTATGTGTGTGTGTGTAGGTGTGTGCATGTGATCATCCTGGGGCTCTACCAGTCACTGACTCCAACTCAACACTGGTTATGTGTCCAGCATTAGGCTGAGTAGGTAATTTCAATTCATCTTCATCAAAACTCAGCAATGTGGGAACTGTCATTTCCTCATGTCAGAGATGAGGAAGGGAGCTCAGAGAGGGAAAGTCATCTGGCCAAGATCACACAGCAAGTAAGTGGTAGGACTGGAACAGGGGCTGGGAGGGATGGGGTGTGTGGCCAGATTAAGATAGAGTCCATGTGTGCGTGCGTGTGCGTGTGCGTGTGTGTGTGTGTGACGGGGATGGGGGGAGTGCCTGGTATAGCACTGAGAGCAGGCCCAGGGCCCAGGCTGAGGGTTCCTTGTATAATCTCATTAATCCTCACAGTTACTCTTTGAGGTAGGCACAAATACCGTCCCATATTACAGATGTGGGAATTGACATTCTGAGAGATCGAAGGGACTTAACTGAGGTACACATCAGACCCAAAACTAAACCTTCTCCCTGGGACCCCAAACCCCTTGCAGCAGTGTGAGGATGCATCAGCTCTAACCACTGCCTCCCTCAGCCTCCCCAGGGGGACAAGGGCCCTTTCTGGGGCAGAGGACTTGTGGGTCTCTAACTAGGAGCCAGCAGCCAGACATGAAATGCAGAAACCACAGCCAAACGAGTTTATTGGAGAACTGTCTGTACCAGGCTCCAAGCCAAGTACTTGTACACCTTTATCTGAATATCCACAACATCCCAGCTTTATAGACCAAAGCTCAGAGAGGTTAAGTGATTTACTGAAGGTCGCACATCTAATTACTGCCAGAACCAGATTTCAAGCTGGATTAGTCAGCTCTTAACCCCTCCCTGGATCTGAATCAGTCTTTCTCCTAGGAGTGAGTTTCTGGCCCAAGCAAGGTGGGAAGAAGTTAGGGTGACCAACTCTCTCAGTATCCTGGGACTGTCCCAGTTTTTGCACTGAAAGTTCCCAAATCCCAGGAAACTCCTCAGTTTGGGCAACCAGGATGGTTGGTCAGCCTGGGAGTTTTGAACCCACCAGCCCCCTGGAGCCACCGCCTGCACCCTCCTAAAGTTCTCTGTAGCAAGAAATAAGCACATTTTTGAAGCTTTATTTAATTCATATGGAAAGAACTAAGCAAAAGAAAGGAAGAAAGAAAGAAAAAAAGAATAGCTAAGATATTATTGACTCCAAATTCATGAGATAATCTTCCCCCACATACTTTTTATTAATCAAAGAGAGGTATGAGTTAGTGCAATATGGTAGTATCTTGGGTTTGTGGAACCTCATAATTTTATTTCCTTGGACACTTAAGGGCCTATAAATACCAATAATAATATTATATATCATCGAATTGTTTATTATTAATATTGGCACTTCTAAGCCCTTAGGGATCCAAGGAGAATAAATCTGGCAAATAGTAGATGCCAAGAATATAAATTGCTCCATTAGTATTTACTATTTGCCTGATTTGTTTTAAGAACATTAGAGTTAGTAACTCATTTATTAACATAATTAATATTTTAACAATGAGTAGTTGCCTGGTACTGAGCGAGCACTTTGTGCTCAGCTCTGTGCCCTATGGGAACATGGACAATTCCCTTTGCTCTCCTGAGGAGGTAACCAAAACACAGAGAAACTGAGCAACAAGCCCAGGGTCACCCAGGTCAGTCAGACACCAAGGGCTGGTGCTTGCAGCCTCCAGACCCTTGGTGCCATTCCAGTTGGCCACCTCAGCCTTGGGATGGAGGTCTTTTCCATGGTTGAAAATGTATGAAGTCTCCAAGGGGCATGCCTGTAGGAGCCAGACTGCTCTTGCCATACCTGGGCAGCAGAGGGCGCCATGGTGCCAAATTTGGTCTTAGCCGGTCAGGACGTTCCCAGCCGCCAGGGGCTGGGGGCACCCACGGTTAGGCCTGGGCCTACAGCTGAAAGCCAGGGCGAAAGTCATGGCTGGCCCCTGGGAGAAATTCAGTGGAACTACCTGTTCGTCTCTGTTATGGGATGAATTGTAAAGCCTAAAAAGATATGTTGAAGTGCTAACCCCCAGTTCCCTATGACTGACCTTATTCGGAAATAGGGTCTTTGTACATGTAATCAAGTTAAGATGAAGTCATCAGGGTGGGTCTTAATCCAATACGGCCGGTGTCCTTATAAGAAGTGGCAATGTCATGTGTATCTACACACAGGGACAATGCCATGTGAAGACAGGCAGAGATTGGCGTGGTGCAGTTACAAGCCAAGGAATGCCAAGGGCCGACAGTGACCTCCAGAAGCTAAGAAGAGGCAATGAAGGATTCTACCCAGAGTCTCAGAGGGAACATGGCCCTGCTGACACCTTGATTTCAGACTTCCAGCCTGCAGAACTGTGAAAGAATAAATGTCTGTTGTTTTAAAGCCATCCAGTTTGTGCCGCTTTGTTACACAGCAGCCTCAAGACACATATACGTTCTCTGTGCCCCGGTCCCTGCTTTGGGTCCGGCCTCTGTCCCTCATCTGGACTCCCTCCCCCAGGCTTGCCCCTGTGACCCACCTGTAGCCAGAGGCCAGCCTCGGCTCCGAGCCCTCCATGGTCCCCCTCACGCCTGGGGAGGAGCCGTGCAGCTGCACACGTCTGTGGCTTCGCACGTGCTGTTCCCTCTACCATAAGGCCTCCTTCCCACTGCAGGCCTAACATTGCTAAGTGACTTCAAAGCAAGCTCTGTGGCCTCCTCTGGATCTTCTTCCCTGACAGCCCAGCCCTCAAGCTAGCTTAGGGCCTCTGGGCTCCCCCATCTCAGTTCCGCTCACTCAGGGCCGCAACTGTGGATATGCTTGTCTGCGAGGCCCTGACAGCACGCTCCTCCGGGACAGGATCTTCGTTTGTCTTGACACAATCAGCCTCTAGTGCCCAGGCCAGTGTCCGGGACACAGTTGGTTTTCAATAAATGTTGAAAGAGGAAAGGAAGGAAGGAAGGGAGGGAGGGAGGGAGGAAGGAAGGGAGGGAGGGAGGGAAGAGAAGAAGGACGTCTGGGTGACTCAGTTGGTTAAGCAACTGACTCTTGATTTCAGCTCAGGTCATGATCTCAGGGTCGTGGGATGGAGCCCCGTGTTGGGCTCTGTGCTCAGTGGGGAATCTTCTTGAAATTCTCTCTCTCTCCCCCAACTCTCTCTTTAAAAAAATAAAAGAAGGGAGAGAGGAATGGAGGAAAGGAGGGAAGGCGGAAGAGAGGAACCAGAAAAGGGAGTGTGAAAGTAGGGCAGAGTAGGGAGAGAGAACGGTGCTTCCATCCTTGAGGGCCTTCCAGAGCCTACTTGCCTGAGTGACCAGGCCCCCATTTTCACTGGAAGGTAACACGTTAGCCAATGCACGCAAGTGCAGGAATGAGTTAACAAGGTGAAAAGTCGTGTGTCGCTGGGATGGGGCACAGGTCAGGTAAGCTTTGACAGGCGTGGGTAGAGGTAGGGACCCTGGGCAATGCTTGCTCTGGGGAGTAGGCAGGCCCTGGGCAGGCTGGGGACAACCTGGGGGCGCTAGAGAGCATTAGAGAAACTGAGAAAGGAGAGGTAGCCCTTGCCAACTTCCCTTGCCATCACATCTAAGCCCTTACTGAGCACCTTCTGTGTACAATGCACCATGCTGGGTGCTCAGGTGGGAATATACAAAGATGAACCAGACTCTCAGGGAGTCTGAGGCAGAGAGCTGTGAGGGGCTCACAACAGCTGGGCAGAGAGAAGATGACAATGAGGTATAGGACTTTAGTCAGGGAGGGGAGACTCACTTGCCAGCAAATAAAATAAATCAGAAAGATGGTGGATGCAAGATGATACTGCAAGGAAAGGCATTCCAGGGAGAAGAAAAAGCTGGACAGGGAATGGTGGAGAGGCAAGCGGCCTGAAATAAGAAGACGAGCAGGACAAATCAGCTCCGGAAGGACCCCAAATGGTCTTGCACTTCAGGCTCAGGGGTTTGCAGTTTCTCTCCATGGTAGCAAGGAGCCAAGGGGGGGCTTTGGAGCAGGGGCAGGATGTACTTGGAGGCAGGCTGCCGGAGGATGGACCAGAGGTGCTGGGAGTGGGGAACCTGGGAAGGGGACAGGAGGGCCTGGACCAGGGAAGGAGCAGGGGTGGGTGGCCTGCATTTGCCCCAGGGGCTAAAGCTCTAGTCTATGGGTCTATGGGGGTGCTGAGGAGGTCCCGTCCTGCAGGAGAGGCAGATCCACTCCAGTTACGCCCACGTAAGACCAAGGGAAGACCATCGCAGGGCTCAGCCAGGTCACCCAGGTGCGTGTTCTGCCTGGTGCTGGGCATGTGGGATTCAGTGTCTGGAGCAAGCACCAAGTTCAGACAGTCTTGATTGTCACTCAACTGCTGCACGGCCTCAGGCCTTCTGCTTCCCTCCTCCAGGCTCTGTTCAGATGGGGAGGAACAGTCTGGGGCTCCCAGAACA